TCTCAACTTATTACTTAGCTGAAAAGTTAGTTTATCTATCTATCTATCTATCTATCTATATCTATCTATCTATATCTATATCTATACTACTCTAAAATGACGACTGTTTTTGTAAAAATATGAACTACTTAAAAAACCCTTACTTTGGCATATTTTTAATGGCAAATTAGTAATACACTAATACACATCATATTTTATATTTTTAAATATTAAAATGAATTACCTAATAAGCTCTTACTTTGATATGTTATAAATAGCAAATTAGTAATATATTAATGTCCATCATATCTTATATTTTTAATTATAACTAATATTTAATTAATTAAATACAAATACATGAACAAATCATTCCACACTCCTAAAATCAACTACAGTATGTTGGTTTGGCACCATTATTTTTCACGAATTTGTTTTCTTCCACATATCTCTAAAACTGTTTGATAGGATATAGAATTGTTGTTTTGAAAAACGTCATTATTTTTAATATAATTTTAATGGTAATATTGTAATCACATTTCATAACCTAATATATAAAAGTTCCTTAAAGAAATTAAAATTGATCCAACAAAAAAAGCATAATAAACACTTATAAAACTAGAAATCGATATTGTTTTTTTCTCATAACGACCACAAAGTATAGAAACATTATTTTCAAAATAACCTATACAAAATGTGTAATAGTATGCGAGATTAATTGTTGAATGATTGTTCTGCAACCTAAACTTCTAATCAATTCAATTTCTTCGATACATAAGACCAAAATAATTTTATGAAATTGTATAATACTAAAACTTAATTTATTTGTTTTCACGTTAAATGAGATACCACTTTAGCAACATGGATTAATTTTAACCATATAATTATCTACAAATAAATTAAAAATATCTCGAGAATCATAATATGATTTACATGTTGAAAATTAATTATTTTAATCAAATAATTATATTCATATATTATCATTACTCATCTATCTATTAATATGTGTTATTATAATAAAATGGTTTTTAAGAAAAAAATGTACGAAATAAAAAATTTATATATTTGAGTATAAATGAGAAGATTATAATTATATATAATATAATATAAAGATATAAAATTAATTGATATAAATAAGACATATGATTCAAAAAAGTGCTATACTTTAATTTTATGTATTTTTTAAAAAACCTAAAAGTTATACACACACACACACATATATATATATATTAAAATACATTTGAAAGAACAGTTTAAAGTTAAAAAAACAATAAATCTAATAAATAATATTAAATTTATAACTAAGTTGTAATACTTACTAATAACTATGAAAAAAAAGTAATAAATAAAAATATTATAATTAGTAAAAGTATTTGTAGAACTTTTAAATTTGTATTTATCGATGTAAATGAGCCAAATTGTTCACCACATGTTAAATTTTTGCGCTTATTAGTTCAATGTATAAATTTTAGACGATAGACAATAGTTATTTATACATTTATCCATGTAGGTTAGAAATTTATTTTTATTTTTTTAAATAAAGCTTTGATAATTTTGATTTTAAATAACGTTTTATTTGCTATTATTTTTTTAATATAATATATAAATACCATATTATATATATATATTTTTTTTTTCCGGAACGATAGATGTACTATAAAAAGCACAAAAGTGCAAAGAGAACAAATTACAAATTACAAGGCCCCAACGGGGTAATCTAAGACCCCAACAGGGTAATGAGACAGGGGCCAACGGCTCAAACCAAAAACACGCCTAATAAAGAACAGGAATAGAAAACTGAGAGGACACGTACATGGCGGCCTAGAGAACTCCACAACAGAAAATAAAGGAATATAAATAACAGAGCCACTGCACACTGCCTAGCCTGTATTCATATCCAAACAAAGACAGACAAACACACAGACCAACCAACGAACAAAAAACACAGAAAACAAGTAAACAAACAATAAGCACTCTAAATAAGCCCTTCCTAAGCAGCTAAACCAAGCTGAGCTGATGGATACCGAGTCAATCCAGATAGAGTCCCACAGCCAAAGAGAGTCGACCCGAAACTGTAATATCCCTTTCAGTTATCTCAGTTATTATGAGTTATTGTTCCAAGAAATAAGTGATTTCGAGTCCAAGATAGTGAGTTATCGGACCGAAATTAAGAATTTTCAAGGAACAAGCCACACGAGTCGTGTGAAGAGACACACGAGTCGTGTGAAGCCACACGAGTCGTGTGGAGAGGCACACGAGTCGTGTGGGATGGAGAAATGATGAAAGTTAGCCTCGGGATTTTGACACGAGTCGTGTGATGAGCCACACGAGTCGTGTGAAGCTACACGAGTCGTGTGATACAGTACACGAGTCGTGTGAGAAGATGAATGATTAAGAGAAAAAGTGTCGGCAAGCCACACGAGTCGTGTGGCAAGGCACACGAGTCGTGTGAGGCTACACGAGTCGTGTGAGGCTACACGAGTCGTGTGGTTCCCCCACACGAGTCGTGTTGCCGACAGTCCAATTGGATTATTGAGATTCGATTGTGACTTTAACCAAAGGCCATTTTTGATGTTTAAATATGCTTTGGATGGATGAATAAGTAAATCATAAGATATTTTAAAGATTATTTAAGTTTATAAGTTAAATTTTATATTATGATCATTTAATCACTCTATTTGGATGTTTCTCCAATTTGTGCCTATAAATAGAGGCTTAAACCTTAGAGTTTTTACACCAAAATAATTACTAAAGTCATATGAGTTTGTGAGAGAGAGTGAGAAGGAGTAACTTTGGAGAAGTAAGGACATTAGAGTGAAGAATCAAGTTTTTAACTTCACCTAGAAGGAGGTAATTTACTTATCTTAATGTTTCATATTTGAGTTCATGCTTTTATGATAAGTTTACATGTTTATGAGTATGTATATCATGATGTAGAAGTTGGAGTTTATAATTGATAAAATGAGTTAAAGATGTTAAAGATCAATTATGTGATATATGTGCTTAATGAAATGAGATGTTGATTTGCATGAGATTTTCATGAAGATATGAATATGCTGGAAAAGTATGATTTAAATGAATAATTCTTGTGTAAAAGAGGAGTACATGAGATCAAGAATTGAGTGATTTGGCATAGTATAACTTAAGTTATGAATTTTTGAAGATGAACATGTAAGATGAAGTTTATGTTCACTATGACTTTAAATTCTCATAACTTGATGAATATGAATGATTAAATTATGAAATTTTGATGACATGTCTATTTAGAAGTTGAGATTATGACTGTTAAATTTCATAATTTAAAGATGAGAAATGAATGAGTTATGAATATGAGATGGCATATATGTGAAGATGAGTATATATATATACAAGAATATTCATGAGATGATCAAGATATTAAAATGAGATTTTTATGATCTATTCTCATATGAGTGATGAGTAAATTTGATGAAGATGGTTTAATATGTTGAGCATACAATTTTATAAAAATTGTATTAAGTATGGCATATTAATATCATGATTGGATGTGATGTTTAAAAGATGAATATGATTGAGTTTAATTTCACTTTCAAGATGTAAAAGTGAAAAATGAGTATGAGTAAATATGAATGATTTGGAGAATATGATATATGATGAGATTGATTGAGTAAAAGAGTGAGAAAAGTTAATTTGAAATGATATGATTATTGAAATTTCTATAAGATTTTAATAAGTTATCCGAATGAATTGAGAAAACCGAGCATCTTATTGAGTAAATGAGCATAAGTACTTAGTATATTTGTTTATATATTTTTAT